CTCCTAATGTTACTTTCTCTTACTGCCTATAGTACTTGAAGTGTTGATCAAGGATACAAACATTGATTTGGGAAATTGAATTACTGTCATGCTCTTTATCTTTGGAAGGAGTATATTGTTTGTGTTAGAATATTTTAAGATTCAAATTGTTGCACTAAATATTTTAATTGCTATGATTATTAGGCAATGAGTGTGTGTGCAAAAATGTCACACTGTGATAGAAATCAGAATTTCCATGAGACAAATGTCTCACCGCTGCCCCACTGTTAACATCTGCATCTGTGTCTTCGGCCTTTTTCCAAACAGGAAAGTAAGCAAATAGTCCAAGGAAGAAGAGACCATAAATCTCTTTTTCAAGATGAGCTTGAGAAAATAGTCTCAGGAAGTAGGGGGCATAAATTTCTACAGTGGGGCCATGCATATAGCCTGCCCACAGGAGTGTGCTGTATAATCTATGAACACTCCCCTACCTCCTTGCAGTAGTCTACATCATGAGTAAGGATTGCTGCCCCTCTCTGTGCTGAATAAACCCAGTCTTGATCTGTTGAAAGTCTGGGCTTTTCTCTCTTGACTCCATGACTCTGCTCTCTTTTGCATTCCCTGAGACCTAACATTTTGGTGCCAAAACCCAGACGATTTTTGGGGTCCCCGCTGGTAACTCCAGACCTTCCTCCAAGAATCTCCTTGATTTTCCTACCATTCTTATCGATTCTTGGGACCTGTTCTTTCAGGAACATGAATGCCTGCCTATCCCACTTTTTAGTCTAACAGGACACCCATTCTTACCAGAACCCCTGTGAGGTCATTATGGCTTACTGTTCATGTGGGAGGTGTCATGCCCGAAGGCAGCATTTTGCATCTCTTCTCCAGAAGGTTTGTTAGTGCATCTCAAAGCACAACTACATCTCTGTACATTCCAGATGAATTACCTACTGGTCATAAATCAATTGTTAAGAAAAACCCTCTTTTGGCAGGGGGTGGGGGCACATGCCTTTAATCCCTGCACTGCAAGGCAGAGGCAGGCAGATCTCTGTGAGTTTGAGGCTAGCCTGGACTCCATGGTGAATCCAGGACAGCTGGGGCTACTGGGAGGCCCTGTCTCAAAAAGACCAAAAAAAAAAAAAGAGATAACTTTTGGCTCTGCACTTGCAGCATTCCAAACTCTCTCCATCACAAGAGTTCTAACCACTCATCGGCCTTAATTTAAAGATAAAACCTCTTTCAGGAAGCTTTGCTCACAATCCTTATATCTTATCTTTGCCATTTCTTAACCCACTCTATTAGTGAAAGTTCTCATAAACCTTTTGTTGAACTATGTGTTTCTTTTCTTACATTTCAGATTGTGTTTTCAGTATTTCTCCTTATTTACTTCCTCTGTCATAGTTTCATTTCATTCAGCTACTTGAAAGAAAGTTTTCAGTTTTTCCACTAACTGCAAATTTGTTTCCAGTTTTTCTGTCTCCTGAGGAACCGCTGTCCTTCAAGCTTTTGTTTCCATTCTGTTTGTGGGATCTCTCTCCACCGCTTTGCCCTTGCCTTCACTGTCACCCTTATAAGATTTATTGTAAACCTCAATTTGATAAGGTTTTTGCTCTCTACTCGGCTATACTCATTCAAAACCTGTAGCCTTCTAACCTATGTTTTCTATTAAGTTCATCTGGACCCTAGGTAGTTCCAGTGTGTACACAGGTTCTATTAACTTTTTACTTATCTTTTATGTTTAATTTTAGTAAATTAATACTACATAGTACTCTCCTCTGTGTCAAACCCCTGTCTTCTTAATGACTTCAGCTGTGTCTGCTTACAGACGTTCATCATAATCAGACTTACTGATTATTGTGTTTTGGGTACAACTAGTTTTCATGTAATTAGGTCATATTTGTCTATGATAATTGTGTCTCCTGTGTTGTTTCATATTCATGCACTTATACCATATATGTAGTTTCATGTGTTGAGATCTCATGTATTTCTATGTGGCCACTTAAACTGTGACCACTTCAGTTTTTCCTTTTTCTTTTTATTGTGCACAAGAATTGTTGTTTTTATATTTGGCATGCCTAATTAAAATACACATGTGCAAACTTATAAATGTGGGTATTTTCATGATGCATTCAAAGGCCTTATAAACTAGGGTATCCTAAGCATTTTAAAATTTATTAAATAGTGTCCCTAGGTCTATTAACTGTTTCACAAAATTTTTAAATGCTAATTGCTTATAAAAACATTTGAGCCAACTGTTTAAGGATTCTAGATTTTTAAATACATTTTTTGGTTTGGGTTGCTTTCAAGGTTTTTAAAGGTATCCATTTTGTTCATTTGTTTTACATAATCCTCAACAAAAAGTAATTACAAAATCTTCATTCTCATGTAAGCTAAAGTTGTTAAATTAACCCAAAGGTTTTTTATTCAGGTCAAGATGTTATTTCTTGGTCCTTATTTTAATTCTAGTTCTACAACATGATTCCTATTACTTAAAGATATAATTTAATTTTAAGTGATGTTTACTTCTTCTCTAGAGTGTAATTTATCTCTGTGTTTACATTTTACCACAATTGTCTCTTTAAAGTCAATCAACAGGTTTGTGAAGACCCATTTCTTTGTTAAGTCTATGTGAAAACATCTCTAAACATTTAAAATGAAAATTGGCCACTTACAAACTTGTGCAAAGCTTACAAGTACATAAAAACATTTATACATTATAATAGTATATTTAATATAATCATTCATCTCTCTATAGATATATATGTATGTATACACGAATTAATATTACTTAATCGTAACTTTGTGAGAATTATTATGTCTCATGATATTAATTAAAAAATTAAAAGATTAAAAGTTTAGTGAAAGGATATAAAATAGAGATATTTTAAAACAGAAAGACTTATGTATGAAGTTTGAAAGTATGAAATATTGATGGCTCAATATTTCCAGAAGGGATGAGAACATTTGAGTAAGTTTATTGAATGTATGAACACAATCATAGAGATACAGAATCGTTATTATAAAAATAATGGCTGCAGCCAAAATTTTTAGTCCACTCTTCTGGCTTATACCATGCACCTAGTTACAGACAGATATTTGGGGTGCCTATAGCTGTTGAAAAATGGCATTTATGTTTCTCTGTGTTATGCAGATTAAAAGTTTAGTGAAAGGATATAAAATAGAGATGTTTTAAAACAGAAAGACCTATGTATGAAGTTTGAAAGTATGAAATACTGATGGCTCAATATTTCCAGAAGGGATGAGAACATTTGAGTAAGTTTACTGAATGTCTGAACACAATTATAGAGATACAGAATTGTTATTATAATAATAATGGCTGCAGCCAAAATTTTTAGTCCACTCTTCTGGCTTATACCATACACCCAGTTACAGACAGATATTTGGGTTGCCTGTAGCTGTTGAAAAATGGTTTTTATGTTTCTCTGTATTATGCAAATGTTCATTTTAGTGGTTCCTTTGCCCATAACAAGATAATCTGACTCAGGTGGAGCTAGGTTTTACCTACCTGTACCAGGTAGGTACAGTCCAGTAGAAGGCAGTTTTGGTAAGAGTGGTCTGAATCCTAATCAACTTATTTTCTGTCTATAGGTATGTGATATAACCCCTACCAACTGAAAAACTATAAATCAGGGTATGAGGGATTGGAAAAGAAAGGCTTCTGTTCACAGCCTTTATTTGAGCCAGACTTAAGAAAATTGTTTTAAAAATCCCTTTCCTGGGCTATGTCCAGTCTACAAAGAGGAGGGTCCACACAGGGGGAGGTTTCTTCCAAGCTTCCAAGTGAAACCGTGGTTGAACAGGACCTTCTGACTTGTTCTCCCATAGACGGAACTGATTTTTTAAAAAAATCAAAGGATCCAAGGGCTCCCCTCATAGCCCAACTGAACCCTGAAGATGAGATCCTCAGCTGACCTTGAGAAAAACAAAAACTTTGTTAATTTGTGCCAATTGTATGGTCTTAAACACCCAAAAGAAAAGTA